TTTGGCCACCTCTTGCTCAGCCAGTTCAGAGCTTCGTATTCTCCTCTTGGCTCTCCAAGTCAGCACTGGACAGGTGCCCACTGCTCCCGGGAGCGTGACCATTGCTGGCACAGGCCACCAGATGCCCGTCCCCCAGTCCCTCTGGTGACTCGCCCAGCAGGCTCCAGCGGATCTCCTGGGGCAGCCTTGCCCGCTGCTCCTGACACTCCTGGGCCAGCTGGGCCAGCAGCTACAGGAGAAGGAAGAGTAGCATAGGTGAGGCCAGCCCACCCAGCACTCTGCCCGCCTGCTGTCCGCCTGCCCCTCATCCAAGGCCTCACCTGGGGCTCCTCTTCCACCAGCTGTTGTAGGACCTGCTGCTGCCCTGCCACAAGGCGTTCATACCGCTGCTTCTGGGCCTCCTCCAGCTGTGGGGGGGCAAGGGCTCAGCCAAGGGTCTCTGAAGGAGGGGCCCCAGCCCCGGGGCTCTGCCTGGGTATAGACATCAGGCAGGTGCAGGCTCCCGGGGTTGTGAGGTGACCCTTACAGACAATGCTCCAGCCGTTGCAGTCGGCTTCGGATGTGATGCGGGTGAGAGAGGGCTGTGGGAAAAGGACTCTAGAAGTCCGTCTAGTGCAATGCAGCACCAGGCCGGGACCCAGGACACAGGTTTCCAATGACTAAAGGAACAGGGGTGGGCTAGGGTGGCACCTGAGTTTCACTCACCCGACGGATCGAGTTGACCGACTCAGTGATGTGCCGCCGGTTAATCTCTGTCAGTTCCCTGCATAGGAACAAGGCAGGATGGGCTCAGTGCCCCTGCACCCAGCCCTGCCTGCCCAGCGCCCAAATGGCTCCCAGCCCTGATGCCCTTACGCCTCCTTCTTATGTTTCTCTCTCGTCTTGGCCTCTGAGATACTGTTGTGGCGCTTTCTGTCCAGGATCTTCTGCAGTTCCTTCTTCTCCCTGGAGGAGCCCATGGGGGAAGAGGCAGGGTCAGTGGCACGACTGGGGGCTCTGCCTGCTACCTGGCACCAGGGAGTCCCCTGTCCCACCTACATGAGATTCCCTGCCTTCACCTGTCATTCATCTCCTTCAGTCTCTTGAGTTGAGTTGTGTGAGCATCCATGACGACCTCCCTGAGCCGCTGCTGAGCCTAGAGACACAGGTGGCCAACAGGTGACATGGGCCAATGAAGGTCTGTCCAGGAGGCAGGCTCTCCCTCACTGCCACATGCCCCCTTCACCTGTCTCAGGTGCTCCAGTCTCCGCTCAGCATCTATATCTGCCTGGGCTTCCTTCAGCTCCAGCAAACACTGCACCTGTTTCTTCTGGAACTCTTGATACCGCTTCACCTCTTCGTCCTCCTCCTTGTCTTCCCCACCTCTGTGGGGAGAAACCCTCTGGGTGATGCTCTGGTTGTCACATGGGCTGGGAGGGTGGGGACAAGGCATATCCCAGCAGGCAATGGCAGGTGCCAGCCTGGAGGGGCAGGGTCTATTATGCCAAAGAGGAGGCCCGTTAGCTTCACCCCAATGATAGGAGCCTGTCTGGGCAACAGTCTCTCAGAACATATGCCCTCATGGGGACTTCAAAAGAGGTGACACTCACTGATGGAACCCAGCCTCCTCTGTCTTCCTTTCACCCAACCCTCCCCACTGGGGGTCAAGGGGCAGCCCTTGGCCATCTCTCCAAGCCCACCTAGTACAGAAATCCACATGCAGACACACCCTCACGTTCACATCAGCACACGCAGCACACTTGCACGCAGGCAGTCTGGACACTCACAGGACACCTGGCCGGTGCCGGCACCTGCCCTCAGCCCGAGCCTGGCCCAGGCCATCAAGCAATCGGCGAGTGAGGGCGTCCGCCTTCCGCTGATGCTTCTTGCGCAGCTCCCGCAGGTCTCGCTCTTGCCGGCTCCGGAGTTTCACCAGGGCTTTGTGGCCTCGCAGCTCATCCAGTGGGACCGGGGC